CATTGCTGGGAGGTATCTCAGGGCTGCATCTCTGCAGGCATTTGGCCCTTTGGTTTCAGCTGCAGGAGTCTGTCTGGGCTGTGGGCTGGGCTGTGCTCACTGGGGAGGACGTCCTGCCTTTGACCCACAGCTCACGTGTTTGCCAAACTGGAATAAACTAAATCAGCAAATGTCCCCCAGCTGTGCTGCTGTAGCTGAGCCTGTCTGGAGGAGGCTGCTGACGCAGCGTCTGCCCACAGTCACTGTTAGAATCACAGAATCATAGAATGGGTTGGAAGAAACCCCCAGCTCCACCCCTACCGTGGGCTGAAGGGGCAGCTCAGGCTGCCCAGCATGAGGGACCCACACCTCTGTGGGCAGCAGTGCCAGCGCTGCACCGCCTCTAGGTGAAGAATTCCTGCTTCATGTCTGACCTAAATCTCCCCTCGTTTAGCTTAAAGCCATTCCCTCTTGTCCTGTTACTGCCTGCCTGTGTAAGAAGTCGCTCTCCCGTGTGTTTATAAGCTCCCTTCAAGTACTGGAAGGAGAGGGGATGGGGATGGAGGCTGCTGGCTGGGCTGAGACACCTGAGCCGTGCTGGGCGTTGTGGGAGCTGCTAAATAAAGGCCTTACAGCTGCCTTGGACTTTCCCCTTGCGTGTTGTTTCGGTGATAAGTTTTGGGTGTCACAGCTTCTTAAAGGTGTGAGTTGTAGCCCGTTGTGTGCAGCTTGGCCATCCCAGGGTGCTTCAGAGTAACCTGAACTCCTTTTTTCTCTTTCAGCAAAAATACTTTGATTCTGGTGACTACAACATGGCCAAGGCGAAGATGAAGAACAAACAGCTGCTGACTGCGGGGCCGGACAAGAACCTGGTGACAGGAGACCACATCCCCAAACCTCAGGACCTCCCGCAGAGAAAATCCTCACTCGTCGCCAGCAAACTGGCAGGGTAGCCCACGCTCACGGGCTGGTTTTTTTTTCCTGTTTTCTTTTTTCTTTTGGTTAATTGGATTGAACTTCACTGTACCATAGAGCTGGGAGCACCAGAATCCACATAGTTATACGAGTATTTGTAGCAAACACACACCACAACCAAGAAGAACATGAGATGCTGGTAGCCCAGGCCACGCAGGCAGACCTTTGGTGGAGTCGGTTGCACGTTTGCTTTTTGCAAGCAGGTTTGCTGCCTTACCTCTCACAGTGCTCAGAACCATCCCTGCTCGCAGTCCCTGCAGTGCTGCATCCCTCCCTGCAGCGCCCTGAGGGAAGTGAGGAGCACTGAGAGGAGTTGTGTGGTGTCATCGTGTTGTTTTCTTCGGGTGTCTGTAGGGGAAGACGCGGAGGGGGAAGTGGCAGAAGCCGATACGTGGCCTGCAGTCTGGTTAGGTGTGTGTGTTAGAGTTGTTAATGAAGTGGTTGAGTTGGTGGCTGCAATGGAGGCAGCAGCCTTGGAGGCTTTGCAGGCAGTTTCTCTCCTCCTGCTCTGTCCTCTGCCAGGGATGCCTGCAGCTGTGAATGGAGCTGCCTGCTCAGAGCCTGGAGTCGTGCACAGGGCTGCTGGTTGGGATGGATGTGATGTGAGAGCAGCAGGACAGTGGCACCCCAGGGAGGAGAAAGAGAAGATTGTAGAGGCAAACGTGTGTTGGCAATGTTATGCACCCCTTGAGGTTCTTTTTTTTTTTTCTTTTGTCCTTTTTTTCTCTTGCCTTTTTGTTTCAGGCTTGAAAAAAAGCAAACCATGAAGTCAGTGTGGTGGCTGCAGCAGAGTGGGGCGCGCTCAGTGCCCGCTTGGTGCTGCTGAAGCAGCTCCAGGTGTGGGGCGTTCGGTGGGGCTGAGGTTTGTGCCAGGGCAGCACCGAGTCCAGGCCAGATTTGAGCCCAGTTGTAGAGGTGAAGCAGGTCGTGTGGGTTTTGGGGAGCTGTGTTGGATCAGGAGAAAACAAAGGAGGGAGGCAATGGGTGATGATGCACCGCGCAGCTTTCCTCACATGTGATCCTGGCCGGATCGCTCACAGAGCTGCACTTTATTGCACTCCCATGCTGCTGCTCTGAGCAGGGAGCGAGGCTGTGCTCAAACACATCTGCTGTCAGGTGGCTCATCAGTGACCCTGGGCGAGGAGCTGTGGCCCTACAGCCATGGACTTTGCTCTGAGGAGTGTGGCAGGGACAGGCAGTGTGCCTCGCTCAGCTCCTCGCCCAGCCCCGCGCTGCCTGCTAGGATGCTCTGCTGTTGGTCCCAGCTGCATTGTAAATAGATACGAATCATATATACAAATATATATATAATTTTTTACATCTTCATTTGTCCTCGTTTCTGGTGTGCTGTGCTTCAAAAAAAGAAAAAAGAGGAAAAACAAGAGAAAAACAGTGAAAAATGCAAAGCGGCTTTGGGCTGCGCCTGTGCTGCTGCCTGCGCCCGCTGGGGGCAGGGAGGGAGCGAGTGACTCTGACCACGTCTTCCCTGCTTTGCTGGAAATGCCAGGCATGTTTGCACAGCGGGAGGAAGCGATTGTGACAACACAGGATGAGAACCAGCAAGAGAAGTTCCCTAAAACGACCGTAATGCGCTGTGGGTGACGTCTGTTCTGTCCCCGAAGCAGCAGAGCAGTGTTGTCTGCACGTCCATCGCATGACGGAATCTGCCTTTGCTTTTAGGGGTGTTTTGCCTTTGTCCTCTGCTCCTGTGTAAGTATTGCAAGGAGGAGGGCGACAGATTGGGCTGAACCAACAGGAGAAAAGTCTTGTGTTCAGCACCAGGTATCCAAGGGTGTTTTTGGTGCTCCCTGAACCCAAAGGGGTTTCTTTGAAGTGGGAAGGGCAGAAGTGGCTCCTGGGCCCTGTCCTGCCTCAGCCCCACGCTGGGTCTCAGCTGACCTCGTGGCAGGCACAGGAGGGGAGGAGTTTTCCCCTCTTTCAAAAGAAATCTCCATTCCATGCCCTGCGCCAGGGGCTCCTGGTGCCTCCAGAGGACAGAGCTGCTCTGTGGTGACGTGTCCCCTCACCAGGGCTGTGCTGCCCTGAGCCCGCAGCCGTTACTTGCCCACGTTATCAATCCTGATGTCACACTTTGCTTCCTCCAGCTGCTGGCGTCACTGGCGTTCAAAGCATTGCGCCGACCCTCCCCACAGCCCTGTCATCCCGTCGTCAGACATCCTGCTCCCCTTTCCCCCACCCCAAATCAGCCATTTCGTCATCCCCTCAGTCCACTTCAAAGCAGGAGCCGGCTGTTTGCACAGGGACACGCTGTTCCAGCTGGGTGCCAAGTATGTGCGGGTGTTTGTTTGTGCTTTAGAGCTTGGCACTGCTGGGGAAATATGTGCTGGGCGCTGCCCTGAGCTGCTGGAGCGAGCTGAGCTCGCTTCTGTTATTGCTCCCAGTGCCAAGAATTCGTTTCCCGACAAGGACGCATTCCTTGAGGCCACAGGGAAGGCTCTGCAGTGGGATTTCTCCTTCCAGACCCTGGTGTTGCCTGGTCCTGCTTGAAGGACTGGGCAGCAGGGCAAAGGATGTGTGGGGTTCACGCATGACCCTGTTCTTTTACAGCCTGGGGCAAAAGGGCATTGGGAACACTCAGGGCAGGGCTGCACCCTGAGCTCACAGCCTCCTCCTCTGCCAGTGGGTGGTGACACTCCGGATGGTGACAGAGATGTGAGTTTGCAGTGCTTTTAGGCCCCCCAAAATCACCTTCACCTTGAGTTCTTCACATTGGCAAGTCCCCAGGTCCTCGCCGCCTCTCTGGAGGAGGAAGATCTCTCTTAGGGGCTCCGTGGGGTTTCCCATCTGGTATTTTATCTCCACAGCTGGAGTTTCCCTCCATCCCACGCACCACCATCCTCATGGGTTGCTCAGGGCTTTCAGGGGTTTCCTTTGTCCCTTTTGTGGGGCCGTTTGCTTTCCACTTTCCCACTCCTCGAGGTTTTGCTGGCGACCCCACGCTCCAAAGGTAAACCAGAGTCCAGCCCCCAAAGCTGCCTCAGGCTGACGCCACTTTCCTTTGGTCCAGAGCTGCACCCACACTGGGCATTCAATGGCCTTTGGACTGAACAGCACCACAGCCCTTCCTGCAGGGAAACCCTTCCTTAGGGGGCAACTAAGAGTGGATGATTCCTCACAGGTCTGATTTCCAGAATCCTGCCCATCTTTGGGCACAAAGATCTATTGAGTGTGGAGCTGGTTGAACTGCACCAGGAGCTTTGCCTCACTCCAGCACCTTGCCACTGCTCCTGGCTCTTTCACAATGGTGAAGATGGAGCTGGAGGCCTGGGGGTGAAGAATCTTGACTTCTACAACAGCTTGGGTTGGAAGGAACCTTACAGCCCCAATCTGTGCTGTAGGCTGGAAGGAACCTCATGGCCCCAACCTGTGCTATGGGTTGGAAGGAACCTTATGGCCCCAACCTGTGCTGTGGGCTGGCACCATTGCCTCGGGTGGCAGCTGCTGGTGGTGCTGTGTTCTCTGTGTGGTGCCCACTGGGGCTGCGACTGCAGCAGATGGAGGCGAGGACCCGGCCGGTAATGAGACGAACGCACAGCAATTCCCTGTGGACACAGAATCGCAGTCGTTAAGGTTGGAAAAAACCTCAAAGGTGCATCAGGTGAATTCATCGCCACTTTCCTGAGCACCTCCAGGTGCGCTGATCTGCACCCCCGCCTTCCCCGGGCAGCCCCTCCCAACGCCCGGCCGTTCCTTTGGAGAAGATTCCCGTTATCCATCCCAAACCTCCCGAGGAGCGCTGAGATCTCCTTCCGGCCGCCCTTTCCACGGCACTCCGCCTCAGTTCCCCGCCCTCAGCCGGCACAGGGGGGTCAGCCCCACATCCAGCGGCGGAACGGCCCTTCTTCACCCCAAAATTCCACTTCCCACCCCCCCCAGGACACCCGCGGCGCACAGCAGCCGCTCCCCGCTCCTCCCCGCCCCCCCCCCCCCCGGGGCCGCACCGGAAGCGGGACCCCCCCCCCCCCCCCCCCCCGTGTCGTCATCGCGGCTATAAAAGAGCCGGCTTCGCCCTCCCGCGCCATCAGCCGCCGGTGCTCATCGGGCGCCATGTTTGCGGTCAAGCGGAACGCCGTCATCGGCTTCAACCTCTACTGCGGCGGTGGAGGCCCGGGCCTGGTGCCCGCTTCGCCAGCAGGAGATCAAACCCCGCCGCCCCCCGCCGCCGCTCCGGCCGCCACCGCCGCTGAGGTACCGCGGCCTCTGATTGGTTCCGCGGGGCGGTGGGCCGCCGGCGGCCGCGCCGAAGCCCCCCGCGCTCCGATTGGCTCCGAAGCGACTCCCCGCGTTCCGCTTGGTTCCGCCGCTGTCCGCCGTCTGCCGTCGGACTCCGCGCCGCGGCCCGTCGCGCTGTGGAGCCCCGAGGAGGAGTTGGACGGCTGCGAGCCCGAGTCCGAACGCGGCCCAGGAGGCGATTCGTTACCCAGCACGCCGCCCGAGCTGCCCGACGAGCTGCGGCGGGACTCCTTGGAGCTCATCCTCCGGTACCTCCGGGAGGCGGCCGGAGAGGCCGAGCCTGGCGTTAAGAAGCTTTTTCCGGGGCTCTTGGGAGGGCCGGGGCGGCCCGGCAGGACGGGCGGAGCCGTCATGGAGAAAGCGCTGGAAACGCTGCGGAGGGTCGGGGACGGAGTGATGCAGAAACACGAATTGGCCTTCCAGGGTGCGTGGAAACGGGAAACGGGAGTGGGGAGGGGGCGGGGGGGGAAGGGAACAGAACGGCCGTGGGGTGAAAACGAAAGCGGACTTTGCGCTGGGAAGGGCTGGGGGAGGGGGGGGGGCTGGGCGGGGCCACGCCGCGCCCCGGGGCTGAAGGGCGGCCGTCCCCGTGCTGATGTGCTGCTGGTGCTCCTCACGTTGCTGATAGGGCTCTGGGAATCCTCCCTGTGTAGCGTGGAGGGGTTTTGGGGCTCCTTAATGCGGTGTGGAGGGGTGGGGGATCGTCCTGGTGCTGTACTGGAGGGTCTGGGGCTGCTCTAATGTTGTGAAGGGGCTTTGGAGCAGCTCCACGGTGTGGTGTGAGGGGGTTTGGGGCTCCCCTGTGTGTGTGAGGGGTTTGGGATTTCTATTGTTGCCGTGCAAAGGAGCTTGAGGCTGCCCTGCTGCGGGCTTTGGGGCTCCCTCGTGGTGCTGTATGGAGGTGTTGGGGGTATGGAGGAAGTTTGGGGTCTCCTCGCTGAGATGAAGGGGTCAGAGTTCCTCTAAAGAAGTGGGGAGTTCTGGAGTTGCCCCGCTGAGGCGGTTTGGAGCTCTCCTGCTGCGGTATTACAGCTTTTTGAGGCTCCTAAAGCTGAGGGAGCTCTGGGGCTGCACTGCTGTGGGGTTTGGGGCTGTGCTATGAGCTCGGGTCTCCGCAGACTCAGGTAGGAGAAGCCCCCCCCCTCTCCCCCTTAGCCCTCAGCTCGTAGCATGGCTGCTTTAAGGTGCTGATCCTGACCGGTCCCAAAATAGCCCTCAGAAAATAGCCCCCGTGCCTGGGCTGGGCTGAGCAGATGGGGTGGTTGGGGAGGCTGCAGGTTTGGGTGTGCTGGAATGGACTGGAAGGGAGAACCGGCCATTTTGGGCTGGTCTTATGTAACTTGGAAGTGAGTCCTTGGGGGCCGGTGAGAGCCAACCATTTTGGGTTGAATTGGTGTCATTCAGAACGGAATCCTTGGGGGCCAGCAGGAACTGACCATTTTTGGCTGTTTTTGTGTAACTTGGAAGCAGCTCCTTTTGAGGACG